GTAACATTTGGTGGCTGGATATGGTTTTGACCATGTTAAAAACAAACAAAAAAAAAAAGAAACCCTTCTGAAAATATCAGTGAGGGCAAGGCTGAAAGTGGTGACAGACAGATAAATGGGAGCTAAGGAAAAAAAAAAGTGCTAGTTTAGTTTAAATTTGCTTAGGGGATTTCCACAGACAGGACAATGTTAACAGCATGAGATGTAAAACAGGGAGGTACAGAGCCTTTCACAGAATTTTCTACTTTGGACGCTTTCTTTTTCTTCCCTTTTTTTTTTTTTTTGGAGTGGGGTGAATCAATCAAATTCATTCAAGTGCCAGTAAAACGACCACCTACCAAAGGAGTCTTCTAGATGCACGCTTAAAGTTGCTAGAATCAAATATATGTTAAACATATGTAAAAATCAGGCAGGTTTATAATCTGGTGAATTCCGTTCAGCATCAGTGAAAGCTGCTCCGCATTTCTGAAAATTCGGCTGTTGGTTAGCTGACTGCAAGCACGACAATATATTTGAAAAAAATCTAGTCAGATCGTATTTCAGGTTTTATAAGCTTAAGATACAAAAAGCAACATGAGATGTTTGCAATTTGTTCTGTTCACGGTATCAAGAGATAAGTCATTCAATAGGAAAAAGCAGCTGAAGCCAGGCAATCTTTACTCGAAACCCACCTGCAACCAGGGCACACTCCACGGGAGTGCAAGACATCCCAGGGCTGAGCCAGTCAAACTGGTCTCTCCTCCCTCTCACCTTAAACAAAGCTGGGTTTCGCTCTGTCCCCCCACCCCAGAGTACAAGGATGTGAGGAACCTTAAAAGTTCTCTCTGACTGCCATCAAACCTTTTAAAACAAAGCAAAGCAAACAAAAGCCCATCACACGGTGGCAGCACCATGACTCCTCTGGATAATAAATTCCTGATGGTTCACTACCTTCATTACAATGTTTTTCCCCATCACATTTAACAAAAACAGTGTTGCTACAGATTTGGACAATCTGATCTAGCGCTGTTCAAATTTTCATTGCAAAATACTATTTTTTCCCCTGCTGTATCAGAATTTCCCTTGCCTTCTGTCTCCTTCTGATGTGCACCTCTGAGAAGAACATGGCTTCATTCTCAAAGGTTTAAACAAAATTGACTATGAACTTGGTTCAAACAAAATTCTACCAAGCATAGACAAACATTTTCAGAATGTTTCCTCAAAAATGCAGTAGGGAAAATAATCGGATTGCATTAAGAGGACAAGTTGTGATTTACTGAAGAGCTTCAAAGCAAGACCACTATTCCTCTTCATGGGTACTCCAAAAATAGATTTACTATTGCTGCTCTACTAGTATAATGACCATCAATGGGCAGGAAAAGTGGCACCTCCTGGGTATAAGGAACTACGCTTAGACCAAGATACTAGACATGAGTACTGGGTACTTATTCCCATTCCATTAAAGGTCATCAACATACCATCATATGTTCCGCTTTCTAGCAAGGCTCCACTTTCTTCCAGTGCTTTAAACTGCTCAACAGGAATGAAATTATAGTCTACCCCAGGGACCTCCCCATCTCTGGGAGCCCTTGTAGTGCCTGAAAAGACAGAGAAAACACTCTTGTAAGATACCTAAGTGTTGCCTGGTTACCAAATGCTGCCTGCTGTACAATTCAGTAAAAACAATACATTTTTGAATTTTTATACAATGATGATGTCACTCCAGTAAGACAAGAGTTAGAACACTGGCAAGCAAGTGGACAATAATGTATAAAAACTAGGCCAGTAAGTTACATAGGAATGACAGTTCTGGTATTGAGGAAGGAGGAGAAAAAAAGCTGGGTGAGGTGGTAATTAGAGAGAATTCTTTCTTATGCTCAGCAAAGTGAAAACTTATTCTGGGGAAGGTGGCAATGTCTGGGCCAGGCAATAGCAGTCTGGGATTTCAGGGAGCTATTTAAGAGCTGTGGTATTTTAACACAGCTCTAAGGGTGCTTAATCTCTCCGCTGTTTCCACCAGTAGCAACTCACTTACTTGTAATGAGGTCAGCATGACTAAGCACATTTGATTTTTGGGTCACCAAACCCATAACTGGGCAGAAACCCTATTTTTTAATCTTACAATTCAGAGTGTAATTCCTCTATACTCCAAACCCTAGCTATAGGTAAGCTTTTTCAGAGTCATCAGTAAACTGCTGTGTTAATGAAGAAGTTCTCAAAGTGTCATGTCTATAAATACAGGCCTCCCATAGCTATAACAACTTAATTAAAGCTCTCCTGGAAAGGACTCCACTGATTCATTATTGCCTACAACCTAATAGCATTTTAAAGGCATATGTCAATTTTTTCAGGCAGCAGCATGAACAAGAGCATTTCACTATCATTATCTTTTAAGAAAGTCACAAACTTTTGGGCACGCTCAATATGATAATGATGAACTGAAAACTGAGATTGAGAATGGAATTCCTGTAGTTACAAGAACTTCTCAGTTTTTAGTGCACTGAATATTTAAATACAATTGGTGATGAGTCTTTTTAATCAGTGAACCTTTGAGATAAGGTAAAGAATGATCTTGTGATAATTAAGAAATGAAATGGCACAGAAGGGTGAGAAGCAATGAGAGGATATTTGACAGCTGTCAGAGCATCCTGTAGCTTGAACAGTGCTTTCTACAAACATCCATTTGTGGGAGCAGTAACCTTTAGGCACCTCGCTAAAGGCAAGTTAACACCTGTGTTGCTTGGACTGAGAGATGCTAGCAGACGCTCTGAGCAGAAGGGCTGGTGGAACTGATGAGATAGGTCCATCCAGATTCTCATACTAATTAATTCTTGCTGTGACACTAAAGTTTGCCCATGCACTGCTGCTTCATCTTCTTCTTGGGCCACAGATTAGTTCTCCCTCTTGCCACCACTTCCTTGTACTGGCCGTCTCAGGATAAACGAACAACATTTACCCTGCATCTTCTGTCATTGCAACTCTTTCTGCATATAATCCCTCCTGCAACTCTCCTTCCAGCTGCGCTACTCTGCCTCATGCATGTGACCCTCTGAGGTCCCAGTTTCCTCTTTGCGCAAAAGACAGTAAGTTGACAAAAATCAGGACGTTTGCACTGTTTGATCATGCTGAGGAAGGTTTATTTCCCATGGTGGCTGTGGCTATTCTAACAACAACCACTGACAAACTTCTGCTGAGTAAAATACAGATATTCCTGAAATACTCTGAGCTTTGAATGCTGAAGTTTTTGCTATTTTATCAGTCCATACTAGTCATACCTTTTCATTGCAACTTAAGATATGAAAATACTCTATCAAAGCCATTTACAGAAGTTCCTGCTGCAAGGTAAAACTATAAACCAGCTTAGGAGAGAAGGCATTTAAAGTTCTCAAACTGCGTGATGGTTAGCAGGCACAGATCAAATGAGGATGATCTTTACATACTTACAAGGGATGGTTCTCAAGTAGAGATTGTCTCTGATCACTTGCTGGAGTTTATGGTCTATCGAGCCCTTCTGGAACTGAAGGCTCAAGTAGTGGCGCAAGTCTTTGTTGATGACTTTTCCTTAAAACACAACAAAGAAGAACAACTTGTAAAAATTAAGCAGGATCTTGCAACAAGAATGGCATTTCACTCTAGAAACGTTTCAAAAAAAAAAAAAAAAAAAGAAAGCAGCAGAAAGGGTTGGATTGTTTTAAATGCCACAACCTGAACGGAAAAGCCATTCTATGCTATCAAAGCCTGACTCTCTGCTGGCGTAAATTGGCATGGTGATGTTAAGCAGAGCTGAGCAACAATCATCCAACCTCAGTATCTCCCAAGCAAGACAGTGACAACATTCTAGAATTGTTTGGAAATCAATGAAAAGTATAAAAATACAAAATCTATTACCAAAATTAAAAGCCTCCACAGACAGGAAACTGCTTCAAAATATAGTGATAATACTTTCTATTCAATTTACACCTTCTGGCTAGGCACCTCAGTATTTTGTCACCTGGAAATCTGCATTCTTGGTATTATAAGAAGAAAATATTTGCTTTTTAAAAACACTGCACGATAGAAGAGGATTTTTTTTTTTTTACAATTATTCCTTTACAATATTTGTCAGGTATCGTTAGCAAATCTGTCATATCACTAGATAACCGTGGCCCCCTCAGCACAGGAATAACTGAGCTCTTGTATTACTCTTTCATCCTTCTGACAGAAGACTGTTTTGTACCCTGTCATCTTCCCAGAAAGCATATTGAATATGGTTCAGTGACCTTGATAAATTTAATTTACGTACTACAGCAGAACACTCGGGGCTTTAAAGAAAGAGACTCTTAGTCTTTGTCTTCAAAACCCAGTCTAGGAGATGGCCAGGAGCAGGAGTACACTGGTGTATCGCAACAGCGGGAACAAAAGCTGGAATAGACAACTGCTCCTTTTAAGTTACATCAGCAACAGGTTATGAAATGTATAAACCTGCTGTAGGAGTGATTCTGACAGGAGCCTCTGAAGCCTGCTGAGACCAGCTGCTGAAGAGACCACCTCAAAAGGCCCCACAATGAAATGGCGCACAGACCCACATCAGTCTTAATACAAAGCTCACATACAGCTTAAACAGAGATTACTGTACTTACATGAGATGTCAAATTTGGAAAAAAAAACCAACAAACCAAAACCGCCAGAACCCAAAAAATCCTTCCACCACCACTAACCAAGGTTTTCCCAACCATGTGTCACTGCTGTAAAGTCGGTTGGACATTTTGGTTTAGGGAAGTTTATGCTTTCCCTTCCCTTTTTGCCAAGTTAAGGGCAGATACACCTTATACAAGTGTCTCAAACACGACCTCGGCTACCACCATTCATTAACGGCAAACCATATTTCAATTTGCACCCTTTTCCCTCCAAGCAAAACAATGGCATGCTGGAAAGTATTTAAAGTTGAAACCAAGGTTACCTATCAGCCCTCTCTTCACAGAGGTCTGTGCTGTCCATAATTAACCAAAACCCAAACAAAACCACCCTACACCCCCAAGCTAACAAAGCAGCAGCTTTCCCCCCCCCCAACACAGGCAGCACAGCCAGAGCTTAAAGTGAGCCCTGAGCTCTGAATTAAGTCCACTTCTCACCCTCCTTTAACACTGTCATTTATTTTAAAATTACATCCAGAAACACAAAAAGCATTCTACAGCATTGAGATGACACCACAGTGTCATCCTCACGGCGTTCCAGGAGCTATACCAGTGATACAGTAATTCCCACTAACGTGGGTGGGGTGAGCAGCATCCCCCAATGCCTGACTCCTTCCCAAACACAAAACTCGCAGTAACTCTGCAGCGCTCCCCTGGGTCCGACGCTCTCTGTTGTTATGACAGCGAGCCCCCAGCTCAATTCCCTATTTTGCCAGCATGAGCTGTTTTTTATAAAATTTTGGATTTGCTTTGTGCAGCATAATGAGCAAAACATGTCATAGAAATAGAAACAAATGGTGTAATCTCTAGCAAGAAAAATATTTTCCATTTGTTACTTACAAACCACTTTATTGTTTGTAGACAAGATGGTTTCTCAACATTAAAAAATGTTTCACCACTAAAATGGTCCATCCATCTCCCTGTCAGATCTATAGCACTGCACTTTAACAATACTAACATATTTCACTTAGGCAGATCAATACACGCGCATCTCAGGCAGATGAATCTGGTCGTTAGCTATGTTCAGAGCGTTGCACGTCGGAAAAACGTGGCAAGAGGTGAAAATCTGTACTGGATGTAGAATTACGGATGCTTTATTTGTTCACAGATCTTACCCTCTTCATGTTTTAAAAGCTCATAAACCCTTTTCAGTAAATATCAACTCAGCCCAAAAACAGGTAAAAGCAAAGCTGCTACTAAGGATATGCCAACAGTGAGGGGTTAATCTTAACATTAAGACCTTAAAGATTGGACTATACTCTGAGACAACTAAATTGAAGATTGAAAGGATTGCCTGGGGAAAACAGAAGAAAAATCGAAGAAAATAGTAGGCAGAGAGAAAATGACAGAAAGTCACATAGAGAATGGTGTGCATGAGAAAGCAGACAAATAAAGTAATAGTAAGGATGCTTTAGGCAACCTCCAGAGCTTGTTCTTACGCAAAAGCCAGGTATTTCCCCCTTCAGGAACTGAACATGCTCCTTTACATTGTTTCATGCTGGCTTTTAGGAGAACCTCAGGTATCAGACTCTCCGAAATGACCTAATAAATGTCAGTTTGGTGTTTGTTGTCCTGCTGAGCTGTCTCTGAAGGATGACACACACAACACAGGGACCAGTCAAGAGGAATAATGCCCTTTATACCATTCAGGTTCTGCAAGATAAACGGGCACAAGACTCTTGTTTTCAGTTTTAATTTAAATTAACCACAAAGGAACTATTAAAAGAGGATATACACACTTCTGTGACTGCAGAAGAAAAAATGGCTTGAGTACCACTGCAGCAAAATACAATACTGTGGAGGACAGAGGCAAGTATGAGTGACAGAGACATTGTGAAAAACGGTGGCAGTGGCTTTCATTTCTGTTGTCACACCATGAAAGGCAACAGTAAAGTTGCCTTTGCTGCTGTACCGAAGTAGGACGAAGGCAGCTATTTATGCATCCAACCTGCCATGGAAACACCAAAGTATCCCAACTGCAATTACAAACAGATGAGTATTGCCATGGTGCTACTAGAACTCAACACAAAGAAGTCAACTCCTAAATTAGCAATGTTGGCAAAACAGCAAAGCTCAAAGTTGAAATATGCAAATAAATTTTAAGAATGCGATCTGTGAAGATTTTATGTTGCTGCCCAGTAATAAGTCACAGCAAAGTAACGTCCCAAGTACGTCTGGCTAACGCTGTTAGTACACGGACATCTGCGACATCTCCCATAAACCACTCTGAAGACCACATGGAAATTCTCCATTTCATTTTGATGCACATTTTTTGCAGACAGACATAGGTGACAACTTTCTTGAGGTAGGGCACATGGGATCCCCTGCACTATGCAGAGAGCTATACTCTGAATGTCAACACCTCCTAGAACAGTGGCATCTACAAGTAAGACGCAGCAATGCTGATGGGTGAATGAATGAGCACACGGCATTTTTCTTTCAAACTTTCCAAAAAATGCTGTACTGTTAATTATAAAAGCAATTTTCCAAAGCAGCGGTTTATTAAAAGCATGCTACGTTCCTATTAAACTATATAATTCATTACTAGGGCTTACACTTTCCCTGGAGCACTTAGCACAAAAGCATATTTTAAGGGAACAGACAGGAAAACAGAACTGCACTCCCTCACGCTTGGGGCAAGTTCTTAAAAAGCCTGTCTGCGGTCCCGCTGTGTTCCGCTGGCGACCTGACGGGAAAAGCGAGCCCCGGGAGCTCACAGCAGGCAGGGCGCCAG